ACAACCTTTTGCATATACCTCAAAAAGAAAAAGAAAAAGGGGGTATCCAGTTTTGTAGTTAACATATGGAGAAAGAAACACAATCAAGAAGTCATGTAGCTTTAATATTATTATTATTTATTATTATTATTATTTTTAAGAAACTCCAATGGCTAAGCTGTGATAAAGCAATTCCGTTCAAGTAACTTTAACACAAAGAAATGACATAAATGTGTTTAGAACTAGGCTTACATGCACGATATGATCATCTCATACATTTTATTTTTATTTTTATTTTATTTTTGAATCATATGTTATTACTAATACTAGGCATGCCAGATTTGTGCATCTAATTTCAAGCCACGTTAAGTATGAATTAACGTGGTTATAACTAAACTAAAACTGGTTCTAAATTTTCCTGCTAGACACTAAGTGGGTAGCAGTGATAACATGCCGGGTGAAACCGGCAATAGTGTGAAGTACAGTATAAATAAAACCTTTTCACAAAGGGTAATAATCTAAGCAATATATTGGAATTTCCACACCTGATTATGCACATGCTGCTCACTGACTCTTTTTAACTTGTGGTTATATGATGATGTTGTGTAATGGTTTGATATTCCAAGTTTCCATGCTTCCTGACCACTAGCATCCATCAATAGAAAACCAAAGATAGTAAGATAAACATGAAGTACATTAACCCCTGCAAGTAACTGCATCGTTTTACAAAAGTAACTGTATCTGCACTTAATATTTTTATTTTATTTTTTAAAATTTGTTAAATTGAAAAAATTATTACAACAGCAGTAGGAAATTATTATGATGTTGCCTGTTATCACACATTGAAGTCAAATCGAATGAGTAGTCAAAAATTGTTAAATCGGTAGTTGAAAATCAAATCAAAATGTCTCTTATCACACATTGACGACTTTTAACCCCAAAAACAAATATAAAATAAAACTATAGTTTGGGATTAAATTGAAGAAGGAAGAATTTACACAACTTACCCTCTCCAAGGGGGTATTTAAAAATAAAATGGAGAATTCAGAGTAATTGAGAATGAAATAACAAAATCCAAATGAAAGACTAAAAATTATATAATGATAAAAACTATACAGGTACTGTTTGTTACAATGCTTCAGTTATTAATACATTATTAATGAAGGAGAACCATGACGTTGTTTATCAATAGAAAGTCAGGAAAACAATATATTATATCAGGAACCCATGACATTTTTCAGCAGTCTACTCAATTTTGTTACTTCCCAATGTGAGAGAGTGAAATTTTATTTACCTAAAATATTACCAAGCTCTACAAACTGTTTATTAAGTCGATTTGAATAGTGATATCATTTTTTTTCTATGTTTGTCCCTTTCATGAAGTTTGTTTCCTTATCTATGACACACAAAAGGTAAGTACGGGATGAGAAATATATTTAGCGAGATAAAAACGTCTTTGGTGGATGCAGTTAGGTGCAAAAAGTTGCAGTATTTGTAACAGGTAATCAGGAATGCACATGCGACATAATAAATAATAATTGTAAGAGTAAGAATAAAAAGATATCTTTCCTGTTAGGTGTTGCGAACGCGAAGTAGGCTTTTTTAATGGTGTGAAGCGGTTCTTTCGAATATTCTGACTGCGCTTCCTTGCTGTCTTTGTCTCTATGCCTTTGAACATGGTTGTGGGAGTAAAAATTTATCTTTCCCCACATACGGCGCCAAATGTTCTAGAATGAACATTAATTGTCTAGCAGGATAGCTAGTATTTGTATCTACGGAGCTTATGGTAAAGATGACAAGCAATGAGAAGTCATGCACCTTAGGCCAAAGTCCGACGGGATGAACAAGGGGTGTGTGTGTGAGTCACCTGCGGTGGATAGGATGTGCTATGGGTACAAGTATGTAGGTGAGTTATCAGATCCCCTCTTTGTTAGCTATAAGGGGTTATATATAGATGACTGCACCAGGAGATTGTGCCCCTAGTGGGTAGTTTGCAGGTGACTTAATGGCATGATGCAATGCTAGTGGGTGGTTATTGCTAGTAGATGGGAGTTAGGAGAGAATGGTGGAATGAGATGCTCCATGTAGTGGGGATAGGAAGTGGGTACCACATAAGTGGTCCACAACAGTTTGGATTGGAGTTTCGACCAGCGTGCAGCTGGGGTAGGGCAGCAACACTCACTAGGGCAAATTACCCTTGAAGAGTTGGATTTTTTTTTTTAAATAAAAATAAAAATAACAAGACACATTTTGTCATGGGCTAAATTCACAGATTATGTCATGGGCTAAGTTCTTAGAAATGTAGTTGTGTTAAAATATGGTAGAGAAAATTTTATTGTTCATGAGATCCTATCTAGTTCAAATTAAACTAATCGAGTAATCGATGAATCGATAAATAATAATAAACAAAATAAACTCACTTTTAAATGAGCTTACAACATGAATAATACTAACCCTCAATAGTCATGGATTAGTATGAGCTATAGCCTGCAAGCTACTATGCTTTTACCTAACTTTACCCCTTTATAAACTTGTGAAATGGTTCAACGTATTTAACGGAGGTTTAAAATGTGTTATTTCCACATTAGTCCACATAGGGCTGTGCATGGGTCAGGTCGGGTTAGGTTTTTGTTCGACTCGACCCAACTTGGTTTTTATAGGTCAGGTATTTTGACCTGACCCGCTTTAATTTGATCCAAGTCAGGTCTGACTTTGATTGGATTTTGTTGAACTAGTTCAGAACCAGTTTGGATCTGACCTGACTTGGTTTCTGAAGTGGGTCTGACTTGGATTCTGAACTGGATCAAATCTGACCTGACCCGTTTTGACTTGGTTTTCACACAAAATTTTGTCGAAATTTTTACGTTGCAAAAGACGAAAATTTCGTCACAAAATTATTTTTTCGTCAAAATTTTTACAAAAAAAAATTTTCTATTGAAATTTAGTTTCCGTCAACAGTTTTGACAAAAATAATTTCTTCCATCAAATGTTTTAAACGAAAAAAGAATTTTGTCAAAAAATTTGACGGAATGTTTTTCGTTCAAAATTTCGATGGGAATGTGTTCTGACGAAAATTTTGACGGAAATTATTTCAAGGGAAATGTTTCATTTGCAACTTTCGACGAAATTTAAATTCTCTAAAGAATTTTGACAGAATATTTTTTTGGTCAAAATGTTTTTACTGTCAAAAAAATTTACGAAATTTTTTTTATAGAAATGTGTTTCGTTGAAAATTTTGATGGAAAATTTTTATCAAAAAACTTGACGAAAATATTTCGTTGAAAATTTTCGATGGAAATGTGTTTCGCTAAATATTTTCGTCGAAAACTTTCGCCGAAATTTGAAATCTGTAAAGAATTTTGATGAAATTTTTTGTTGTCGATATTTTTTGCCGTCAAAATTTTTTGATGACGAAAATGTTTCCGTCGAAAACTTTCGCCAAAATTTGAAATCTGTAAAGAACTTTGATGACATTTTTTGCCGTCGAAATTTTTTGATGACGAAAATATTTCCGTCGAAAACTTTCGCCGAAATTTGAAATCTGTAAAGAATTTTAATGAAATTATTTGCCGTCGAAATTTTTTGATAGAAATGTGTTTCGTCGAAATTTTCAATGGAAATTGTTTTGAGGAAATGTTTCATTTGAAACTTTCGACGAAATTTAGATTCTCTAAAGAATTTAGACAAAATATTTTTTCTGTCAAAATTTCTTATCGAAATATTTTTGTCAAAAAATTTTACGAATTTTTTTTACAGAATTGTGTTCCGTTGAAAATTTTGATGGATATATTCTTTATCAAAAAACTTGACGAAAATATTTAGTCGAAAATTTTTGATTGAAATGTGTTTCGCTAAAAATTTTGACGAATTTTTTTTTTGTCAAAAAGTTTAACGAAAATGTTTCAGTCGAAAACTTTCGCCGAAATTTGAAATCTGTAAAGAATTTTGATGAAATTTTTTTCCGTCAATGAATTTCGATGAAAATGTGTTTCGTCGAAAGTTTTTATGAATATATTTTTTTGTGAAATATTTTGACGAAATTTAGATTCCATAAAAAAATTTGACAAAAAAAATATTCCGTCAAATTTTTTTACCGATATGTTTTTAGTCACAAATTTTGATGAAAATATTTTTCGTCAAAGATTTTTGCGAAAATTTTTACGAAAATATTTTTCATAAAAAATTTTGACGTAATTGTTTTACGTTAAAACTTTTCTTTTAGTGTAATTGTGATTTTTTTTCACATAATGGGTATGAGTCAAGTTTTGGGTCAGCGGGTCAATATTAAAACGAGTCAGGTCTAAAACTGACCCAAATAAAAGTGGGTCAGTATTTAAACCAGTTCAAAAAGTATAAGTATTTATGAGTCGGGTCAAGGTCGGATCAAGGGAAGGGCAGGGCAAGTGAACCAGTTTTTTTGCATACCCTAAGTCCACACACTGCATGTCACTCTTTCTCTCTCACACGCTACAAAGTCAATTTGTTTCCTGTAATACGGTTGCCTCTGGTTTGTGTGCCCATTAGCAAAGTGAGAAAAAATAAAATAAAATAAAATAAAAGAAGTTCGATTCAATGTTGTAACTCACCCACACGGCTAGCTCGAGTAATTGACTTATCCAATCAAATAACTATCACCTAGTATACACCCACGCATTGCATAGACGTCTTACAATTTATAAAACAACATTTTCTCTATATTTTCAACCTTCCACGCTTGTTAGCAATTGAAAATGATGTGAAATAATAATAAAATATGAGGCAAACAGTGCACAACAATTTTAGAGCAAGAAAATTTTGTGAGATAACGAGAAAAACAAAAGTCACACTAAGTTAGACACAACAATATCATTGTGGATTGATACATACTCAGACACAAAATATCAATCCACAATATCATTGTGTATTGATACATACATCACAGCAAGTATTATTACACTAAATATTATTCAAAGCTTAGCTAGCATGGAGATACTTGTATTATTATATATTACACACACTAGTGTGGATATTTCATTCAAATTTCAAACTACGGAGCTTAATCCAGTGTCATCAGCATCTACGAACACAACTTGAAAGGGATCATTATCATCAGTGATCAGGATTAGACGCCTTCCTTTCTCATCATTGTACCTCCCAATATCAAAACAAAGACCAGGAGGGGCAGTGTTTTTGGGACAGAACACAAGCTTGTATCCGAAACCATATTTCTGAATATGGAAGGTACCATGTAGGATCTGCTTTCCTGGATGGTCTTCAAAACCACCAATACCTACCCATTCTCTAGGGAAATCATCAATAACAACCAACCATTTTGATGATTCAGCACAATTAGGCTTCTTTTCAAATGCAATATCCAATGGTGTGCCTGTAAAAATAATACCAGGGCTTATTCCTGGTATGCTGAATTTCACTGGCAAGCCATTGATAACCTCAGAATAATCTTGCAATACAGTAACTGGGCACTTTGAGTTCCCAGTTTTGCCAAGTCTTACTCCACCACCTGCTGCACCAAAGATAGCTGGCAGAATGTAGTACTTTCCACCTGGAAAAATGGGTTTTCCATTTGTGTCCAGAACTTGTTCAACAACTTGTGATGAGAAGGCTAATGGAAGGTTGGTGATTAAGGCAAAGAGGAAGAAGGAGAGGGTAAGTAATGCAGGCTTCATGGTTTAAAGCTAAGGATGTTGTTGTACTTGTGTTGTGTCTTGTTCTGTTCCCTCTGCCTCTCTATATATAGAATTTTTAAGAGATACTTGCATGTGATGTGGATGTAGGAAGTCACTCAGATATGGATAAGTTTTGAGAATTATATAAGCGGGAAATGTGTATCATTTTAAATGATATAAAGTTGTATTATTTTAAGTGATAGAAATAGATAAATTATGAGAGAGAAAGTGGAGGGAAATTTTTTAAAAAATGTGAGTCCCACCTCTTTATAAGAGTGAAAGGATGTAAGGTGTGTCATTTAAAATGACACATTTTTTCCCATTATATAATGAACTTAATTACGTTTACATATAGGGAAAAATATTTGTCATTTTAAATGACATAAAGTTATATCATTTTAAGAGAGAGATAGATACAAAATAATTTTTTATTTAAAATTAAATTAAAAAAAACCACTCATTTTCTCTCTTCCATGATTTTCATTTTTTGTGACTATCTCTTTCCTAAAATGACATAACTTATGTCATTTAAAATGACATAACTTATGTCATTTAAAATGACAAATACCAAACCCATACATATAAGTTGGTGTAAAAAAAAAGTTTCCTTTTTTTTAAAATTACTTTAGACAACTTTATCTAATATTCACTGAAATGATGTTGTTTTGAGACGGAAACCATAGTGTATTTGTAATTTTAATTTATTTCAGAGTTATAATAGTCTTTATTATTCTAATTTTTAATTTTTCAACCTAAAAATGATGTCATTTTGATGAACATTAAATAAAATTGTCAAAAATAACATTAGATATTTTTTTACCAAAAAAAATTATGAATGTTCCGGGAGGGAGTATTTTACTCCTTTGCGTGGTGCACAACTTAATTTCTAGGGCTTTACTTCTCTTGTGAAGTGGGAGAGAAATTATTTTATATTGTGAGACAAATAAAATGGACCCTCCAATTTTAAAAAATAATATAAAATCGAAAAGAGAGGCACTTATTATTTGTTGATACTTGCATATGATGACAGTGATGTGGATGTAGGAAGGGACTCATATATGGATAAGTTTTGAGTATTATACATAAACTTATTTAATTACGTTTCAATATAAGTTGGTGTAAAAAAAATTTATGAATGCTCCGCGAGGGAGTATTTTACTCCTTTGCTTGTTCCAACACTTAATTTTTATGTACGTCATCGGTGTTTGTTTATCGTTAAAAGTTCACCTAATTTTCTTTTGAGCCCCGTGCCAAAAAACTCTTAAAACCTCTGTGGCTTTTAGTACCTTCGAATAAATACGAATTTTGAGGTATTTTTAATATTAAATATTTTTCCCGAAGGATCCTTAGCCTGTATTTATTTAATTTTCTTAAGCCATATATAGCATACCAAAAAACAAAAGGTGTGACTTTTTTTTAGTTCAAGGAACGATTTAAATAAGTTCTGTTTAGAATATACCAAAAATCATCGAATAACGTGGCCATTTGTTAAATTTTATCAACCAATACATGGTATACCATGTGAACTCTTGCGTAATGAGAGCTCGGTTTGTATTTCATAAGTGATAAGGGTGTAGTATTTCAATGTATAGATGTTTAAGGAGGTAGTTGTTCGATATATTAATAATATAATTTAATAATATGTTCACATATAAGTCTTATAAGTGAAAGCATGATTATTTGGGTCTATATGGCCTGAAGTCCAATAGCTTGCATTATCTTTAAGATTTTCTAAGCTGGAGGTAACACTGTTGAGCATTTTAAATTTGATAATTTGATGTCTTTTGGTGTAATACTTCAAGCATCTCTAAACCCTTCTCTCTCAAACTCATAACCTCCAACAATCTTGAAGTATTAGCTTTGTGTGTCGGATTTGAGTGAGTAAGGTGTCTATTCGAAGATCTCATCGAGTGGAACTCATATTTTAAATCACTTTCGCGATTCGACGGAAGGATTTACCGGGATATGAGTTTGAAGAAACTAGAGCCGCAAATTTTCGGTCCAGATCCCAGAAATTTCGGCCATTTTCTGAAAGTGAAACCTAATAGGCTTTGTTCTACTCGTCAAGACGATCGTTTTGAGTGGTCACTCGCCTTAAACGGAGATCGAAGAAGGAGATATGACCGTTTGAAGTTTTAAGTACACTTTTAAGCGAAAAGGAATATTCATGCGAAAAGGAATATTCTAAGGGAATATTATGTTAGTTGAGGAATATTCCATTAGGGGACATTTCAATAATCAAGAGATGAGTTTCTGGCAATAAGGGTAATCCATCTTAAGGTTTTTGGGCGCTTTGCATCTATTTTTGGGGTCTGTTTTGGCAAATTCCAAATTTACAGAGCAATTTGATGAAAGTTAGAACCTTTACTTTAATTTGTGAAGTCTATGAACTACAAGGTGCACTCTCTTAGGTCTGATTAAAATGCCTGAATATAGTTCTTATATATTAGGAAATGATATCATTTGATATTATTGAATTTTATGGTTGGAAATTACATGTTCAATTTGGCATGGAAGAACATAAAATATTCCATAATGTACTAAATGATTTTGCATTTACCATTGAAAATTGTGGATTAATATGAATGGAACAAAGATGGATATTTTTGTAGGGATTACTTGTTAAATTCTCTAAATATTCATCTAGCTATGACTTGTAGTGAATATAAGACGATGAAAAAAAATATGAAATCACTTGAATGCTTAGTTCCAAAAAAAGAGGGGCTCTCCAAAACTCTCATAGCAGAAAAGTTCTTTGAATTCAAATTTAATACGAATTCAGTTAATTAAACTTGAGAACATAAGAAACAAGCTAAAGATGATAAATATGATATGTCTGATAATCTTTTTGTCGATCTTGCATTGAGTAAACTACTTGTTGAATGGAGTTCTTTCAAGACTAAAAGAACAGAGTGAACTGGATAAATTAAAGAGGTTTATTTATATTTACAATCAAAAAATTTCTAGGAAAAGTTTGGAACAAATAAGACAACAAAAGTTAGTTGCCTACTTAATTTCACATTCCAATAAACCTCAGAAGAAGTCTAAGTCACCAAAAGGTGAATCCTCTTCATAGTTAGAGGCCAAAAAAATTATCTTCAAAAAAAGAAGAAGGACAAGTGCCATAACTGTATAAAGTGGGATCACTTGGCAACAGAGTGTAAGCTACCAAATAAGTTAAAGAATATCAAACCACAAAATGAGGCTAATATATTAACTGATGAACCCGAGCCTCAAGCTTTCATTGCAATGATGAAGAATAAAAAGGCCAGTGTCTCTTTTGAGTGGTGGTTGGAGAGCGGTGCTACCTGTCATACTACAAGTGATAAGAATTTACTCACTGAGGTCTTGGAAGTGAAAGACATATTGGAAAATTACAGTGCTGATGAGACAGATGTGACTCATGTTAAAACTACAAATTTGGTGCTTTCTTCAAGTAAATTACTAACTCTAAAACAAGTTAGAGTAGTACCTTTACTTAAAGGAAATTGATATCTTTGCTTCATAAAGATGGTATGTATTTCTAAACTATAAATTTGGTTCTTTCTTCAAGTAAACTACTAACTCTAAAACAAGTTAGAATAGTACTTTTACTTAAAAGGAAATTGGTATCTTTGCTTGATAAAGCTGATATGTCTTTTTCAACTATGAATGATAGAGTAACTTTATCTGTTACCTCTTGTTATTTTGGCTGTGCATTCATGGTTAATGGTATGTATAGGTTGAGTTTAGATACTGAGAGCATAAACCATGTGAGTTCAACTTTGATTGATCCAAAGTTGTTACATAATAGACTTGGACATGTGAACTACAGGAAAATGCAACATCTAGCTAAAACTCATGATATTCCATTAGATGCCCCTATTCAATTTGACAAATGTGAAGTATATGCACCAACTAAGATCACTAGAAAACCTTTTAAGTCGGTTTCTAAAAGCACACAATTTCTTAATCTAATACAGTCTGACCTTTGCGACTTTAGAAATTATGTTACTAGAGGTGGTCAAAAGTACTTGATAACATTCATAGACGATTTTTCTAGATATTGTCTTGTCTATTTGTTGAAATCGAAAGATGAAGCTTTTGAAAGGTTTAAGATTTTTAAGTCAAGAGTAGAAAATCAACTCGACTTGAAAATTAAGAGGTTTAGGAGTGATAGAGGAGGAGAGTATACAATGACAGGGTATAAGGAATTTTGCGTTTTAGAGGGCATAATACTTGAAACCACTACTCCTTACTCACCCCAATCAAATGGTGTTGCTGAGCGCAATAATAAGACATTAACTGAAATATTAAGCTCTATGTTACTTACAGCTGGCATGCCTTCCTCCTATTGGGGGGAAGCGATTCTAACTGTTAATCACATCTTGAATAAGTTGCCGCACTCTAAGTTGTCTATGACTCCTTACGAGATATGGCATAAGCGTTCTTGTAGATATGATACTCTTAAGACTTAGGGATGTATTGCTTATGTAAGAATACAAGATCCTAAGAGACCTAAGGTGGGACCTAGAACCATTACTTATGTATATCTGGGAAGTGCAGAAGACAATGTTGCGAATAGGTTTTTGGATCTATCTACAAATGTGGTGATAGAATCCAGAGATGCATAATTCTTTGAGAATAAGTTTATCAAAGATCATGGCTTGAGTGTTTCTAGATCTACAGATATGATTTTAGAATTTCATATAGAATCTGAAGCAAGCCCTTCTGACGCTAACCTCACACAACTAGTTGTTAAATCAGTTCCAGATAGAGTATCTACGAGAGAGAGTTTCCAAAGACTTCGGCGAGGACTTTGTCACTTACCATCTAGAGGATGATCCATTCTCCTATCAAGAAGCAATGAGATATAGGGAATCTCTACTGTGGGCAAAAGCCATATATGATGGATATTCTGATGTGTCATGTGGCTCAGAAATAGGAAATAGTAAGTCCATTAATGGATATGTATTCACTTTGGGTGGAGTTGTTATTACTTGGAAATTCAAAAGATAGACTTGTATTGCATTGTCGTCTATAAAATCAGAACTTTTTGCTTTAGCCTTAGCCGGCGAAAAAGCAAAGTGGATAAAGAATCTAATTATGGATATTCCTTTGACTTGGCTAAAGATTAATTCTTTAAGCCTATTTTTTCATAATCAAGCAGTTGTCCAAGTTGTTAAAAAATGCTATCTTTAGTTGAAAGAGAAGACATATGAGACTGAGACATGCTTTGTTGAATTATCTGAGAGAGCAAGGAGTTATCACCTTGATTGATATGAGATCGAAGGATAACTTGGCCGATGCTCTCACAATAGGTATGCCTAAAGATTGATTATTCAAAACAGTAGGGGAAATGGGGTTAAAGACTACATAGACAAGTCTTAATTACCATTTACTTACCTTTTAATTGTATGTTTTGAATTATCGAATCTTCCTTTTGTTGGCCAAAATGATAAGCCCTGTTTATATGTTTCATTGATGTTCTTGGTTGCTGATTAATTTGAAAAGGGTCAGTTGTCTCATTCCAAGCTTGATGAAGATAACTTGAACCTGATTCAAAGGTTCTACCTGAGAAACTTGTGTTATTCCAAACTTGATGATACAATCCAACCAGGTTGGACCATCCTTTTGGTTAAATGATCTCATTCCAAACTTGATGCTTGATTATTTGACTTTGAGGAATCAATAATTGTGACATTCCAAATTGAAACATTAAAATAGTAGTTTACATAAGAAGTTTGTGGGTCTTGTTCTTAAGTTGATTGCTCTTTGCAAAACAAATTGTTTAGGCCTTGTTCATAATTTATGAAACTGGCTTGATGCTTATGAACATAATATTACAATGCTTTATGAAATTAATACATGTTCTTATTTTTTCTGATGTTATGATGCTAAGTTCTTTTAGTAGAACTAGACATCTTTGGTAGATAATTCAACTGATTGAATTCATAATAATATGAAATTCATATATGATATTCTACAGAGGATGGCAGAGATGGAGGAGAGCTTAATGAGAGGGATCTTGACTAAGATCACCTCCTTGATGAATGAATATCTCATTTAGAGTAAGTGAGGACTTGACAGTTCACCCGCACTTGGCCATTTTGATGGAGTCCATTTATTTGAGATTTACATTTTGCTATCTTTATTTTATGAACATTGTTGATTGTGAACTAATTTTGAGACTTATTTTGGATGTTGGGATTTGGATGAGTTTAGATAGAATCTAAAACTCTAAATATTTATTTTAGTATGTTGGGCTCAGAATAGATTCATGATAATGATGCTTTGTTTATTTAGATTGAAAACGACGATTGAGTTTAATATTTTATCGTTAAAACTCTTTGATTGATCCGAGTTAGTTGTCTTGGACTGGATATGAATGATTCATATTTGTTTGAACATTACATTGATCACTCTATTGGATTGTGCTATATGGTGAACATAGGAGGAAATTGTTGGATATATTAATAATATAATCCAATAATATGTTCACATATAAGCCCAATAGGTGAAAGCATGGTTATTTGGGTCTATATGGGCTGGAGCCCAATAGCTTGCATTATTTCTAGGGTTTCCTAAGCTGGAGGTAACACTGTTGAGCATTCTAAATTTGATGTCTCTTGGTGTAATACTTCAAGCACCTTTAAACCCTTCTCTCTCAAACTCATAACCTCCAATAATAGTGGTATACACCAAAGCTCAAGGAGAATTATCGTAAAAAGTCATAAAGAAGACTGCGAATTGTGTACTTGGAAAACTACCATTATAGATTCAGTCCAAGTTTTACTTTGTTTGATGATACATTATACTTTTGTAGCTTTAGATGGCTAGGATAATATCCACTTTACTATCTTGACGTTCACAATCAAATAAAGGATACGTGCACATTGTGTACTTGGAAAATATGGGAAAATAGGGGATGTTAGTATAATAAGTGATCGATCTGACAAGATTAAGAATATCTAACTAGGGGTTGGTAACTAGATCTTGGATCAGTATGCTCGCGAATGTCTATCTATGAAAGAGACGTCACAAGGGGTCACAAGTTATTGTGTACGAATAGTAATAGCATAGCTAGAGCATGGGTGTGTGCACAGTTACTGTTAAAGAATAAATGAGCCAAAAATATGTAATATACTTTGGGATTTTCTGATTGTATGAATGTTTCACATCATTTCTCTATTTTCCCCTTGCTAAACAAAAACATCAGCCATTTATTTTGAATCCCACACTCTCTGCCTCCCCTTTCGATCTCATTCGCTGTGATATTTGGGTTCCCTTCAACACCCTCTCTGTTGAGGGTTCTCATTATTTTCTCACCCTAGTTGATGATTCAACTAGATTTACTTGAACATATTTCCTTCAAAATAAATCTGATTTTTCTCATGTCTTTCTTACTTTCTACACTCTTGTTTCGACTCAGTATGGTCTCTCTATGAAGTCCCTCCATTGTGATAATGCTCCTGAATTCAATTTGTCTTCTAATTAAAGGCATTCAGCTCTTTCACTTTTGTGTCGATCATCCCTAGCAAAACTCATTTGTTGAGCATAAACATCAACACCTTCTTAATGTAGCTCGTGCCTTACATTTTCAGTTCCATGTTCCTCTCTAATAGTGGCAGGATTGTGTTGCTACGGCTTTTTATCTGATTAACAGGACTCTTTTCCCTCTTTTATCTTCCAAGACCCCTTTCGAATTGCTTTGGCATAAACCACCCTCTTATGATCATCTTCAGGTCTTTGGTTGTTTATGCTACAGCTCCACCCTCCCTAAAACCCGCCATAAATTTTCCATCGTGCCTTACCTGCAGCTTTTCTTAGTTATCCACCGGGTTTATAAGGGATATAAGCATCTTTATTTAGAATCCAACAGAACCTTCATTTCCCGTGATGTTGTATTTTTTGAACACATTTTCCCTTTGTTCTTAAATCCCCTTCATCTACCTTCCACGTTGAACTTTCATAGTTACCCCTTTCTTTTGCAACTGACTCTCTTATTTCATATTTTCAATCTCATTCTCATACCACTTCACGACCCTAGCGCACTAGACACCCTCCCACTCACCTTACAGATTATGCTTGTTCCTCGTCACCCTTTATCCCTTATATAATTCAATTTCATATGCCAAACTTTCCCTTTCTCATGCTTCTTTTGTCAATTTTGTTTCTTCCCATTTTGAACCCAATTCTTATTCCCAAGCTTCTCAATTACCAGAATGACAGGTAGCCATGGACGCTGAGCTCTCAGCCCTCGAGCATAATAATACTTGGTTTGTTGTCCCTCTTCCTCTAAGTAAGCAAGATGTCGGTTACTGATGGGTCTACAAGGTCAAGTACAATTCAGATGGCTCTCTTGAAAGATACAAAGCCCGTTTGGTTGCTAAGGGCTTCACTCAACATGAAGGAATCAATTTTCTGGATAATTTTTCTCCTGTAGCAAAGCTCACAACTGTCAGGGTCCTTCTTGCTTTGGCTGCTATTCACAATTGGTCTCTTACCCAACTTGATGTCAATAATGTGTTTCTTCATGGAGAGCTGCTTGAGGAAGTCTACATGCATCTTCCTCCTGGTTTTTCATCTACACATTTTACTCTGCCTTCTAATGTTGTTTGTCATCTTCACAAGTCTCTTAATAGACTTTGTCAAGCATCACGACAATGGTTTGCTAATCTTTCTTCTACCTTGTTACATCTTGGTTTTATGTAGTCCCAATCTGATCATTCTTTATTTGTTCGCTCATCGAACACTTCTGTTATTGCTATCTTGGTTTATGTAGATGACATTATTGTTGCTTCTAACAATTGCCATGAAGTTCATCAGTTTACTGCAGTGTTACACAACAACTTCAAGTTGAAAAATCTTGGCCCTTTAAAATACTTTCTTGACCTTGAAGTGGCTCGTAGCACCAAGGGTATATCTGTTTGTCAGTGACATTATGCTCTAGAAATTCTTAAACATTCTGGTAATTTGGACCGCAAACCTAGAACCACCCCTATGGATATTGGTCTTAAGCTTTCCTCCATAGCTGGTGATCTCCTTCTTGATGCTTCCTTGTATCGTCGCCTTATTGGCCGTTTGCTTTATCTCACAATAACTAGGCCTGATCTTTCCTATGTTGTTAACCACCTTAGTCAATTTACGGTTTCTCCTCGTGTTCCTTATCTTCAGGCTGTCCACAGGTTACTTGGTTATGTCAAACATAATGTTGGACAAGGGCTATTTTTCTCTTCTTCCGCGTCTATTCAGCTCAATGCTTTTTGTGACTTTGATTGGGCAGCTTGTCCTGATAGACGTCGTTCTATTTCTAGATTTTGTGTTTTTATTGGTGATTCTCTGGTTTCCTGGAAGTCTAAAAAATATACCATTGTATCCAGGTCTTCCACTGAGGCAGAGTATCGTTCTATGGCAAATGTTACTTGTGAATTGTTATGAGATTTTCCTTATTTCAGGATCTCCATGTCTTGCATCCGGGTCCAGCTCACTTCTTTTGTGATAATTAATATGCTCTATACATCGCTGCCAATCTGGTGTTCCATGAACGAACGAAGCATATAGAGATCGATTGTCACATTGTCCGGGAGCACATTTAGAAAGGCCGCTTGAAGACTTTTCCAGTTCCATCTTCCAAGCAACTTGTTGATCTCTTCACCAAGCCCTTGCTCCCATCTCAGTTCTCTACTTTATTGTCCAAGATGGGTATTTTAAACATCCACTCTCCATCTTGAGGGGGCTATTAACATATTTGTGTGTATTTTTCTCTTTTTTGGTGATTTTGTTATTTAGTTGTAACCACTTTAGTGTGGCTCGTTCTCTGCTTGGCACCTACGCTTTGTTAGAGGGTATTTTTGGTTTCTTCTGTTTTTCTTTTCCCTTTTAGGCTGATATATGTAGTCACTCATTGTACTTTGTTTCTTCTCAATGAATAAAAGATGAATATTCAGTTCTCTGTTTTGTTTCTCCTCTTTAGCAACTAGTAAATACGTTGGTACTTGATACATCAATCTTCGTGAGAACGACAACCCCACTTTTTCACTATATTACTTGTACGACCGGTACACTTGCAGTGATCGTCACAATACAACGTATTTAATGAAGGTTTAAAACGTGCTATTTTCACAATAGTCCACACAGTACATGCTCACTCTTTCTCTCTCTCACACACATGATAATATTAAACTTGAGCATAAGAAAATGTACGCAATTATAAACGCTAAAAAGCCAATTTGTGTCCTATGATACGGTTGCCTCTGGTTTGTGTGCCCATTAGCAAAGTGAGAAAAAATAAAATAACACAAATGAAAGAAAAGAAGTTCGATTCAATGTTGTAACTCACTCACACGGCTAGCTTGAGCAATTCACTTACCCAATTAACTATCACCTAGTATACACCCACGCATTGCATAGACGTCTTAAAAATTATAGAACAACATTTTCTCTATATTTTCAACCTTCCAAGCATGTTAGCAATTGAAAATGACGTGAAATAATAATAAAATATGAGGCAAACAGTTCACTACAATTGTAGAACAAGAAATTTTTTGTGAGATCACGAGAAAAACAAAATCCACACTAAGTTAGACACAACAATATCATTGTGGATTGATACATACATCACAACAAGTATTATTACACTAAATATTATTCAAAGCTAGCATGGAGATACTTGTATTATTATTACACACGCTACTGTGGATATTTCATTCAAATTTCAAACTACGGAACTTAATCCAGTGCCATCAGCATCTTCGAACACAACTTGAAAGGGATCATTATCATCAGTGATCAGGATCAAACGCCTTCCATTCTCATCATTGTACCTCCCAATATTAAAACAAAGACCAGGAGGGGCAGTGATTCTGGGACAGAACACAAGCTTGTATGATCTCTTATCATATTTCTGAATGTTAAAGGTACCATTTAGGATCTGCTTTCCTCGATGGTCTTCAAGACCACCAATACCTACCCATTCTCTAGGGAAATCATCAACAACAACCACCCACTTGGATGATTCAGCACACTTAGGCTTCTTTTCAAATGTAATATCCAATGGTGTGCCTGTAAAAATAATACCAGGGCTTATTCCTGGTATGCTGAATTTCACTGGCAACCCTTTGATAAACGGAGAATAATCTTGAAGAACAGTAACTGGGCACTTTGAGTTCCCAGTTTTGTCTAGTCTTACTCCACCACTACCAATAATAACTGGCAGAATGTAGTATTTTCCACCAGGAAAAATGGGTTTTCCATTTGAGTCCAGAACTTGTTCAACAACTTGTGAGAAGACTAATGGAAGGTTGGTCATCAAGGCAAAGAGGAAGAAGGAGAGCGTAAGTAATGCAGGCTTCATGGTTTAAATCTAAGGATGTTGTTGTACTTGTGTTGTGTCGTGTTCTGTTCCCTCTGCCTCTCTATATATAGAATTTTTAAGAGATACTTGCATGTGATGTGGATGTAGGAAGTGAATCAGATATGGATAAGTTTTGAGTATTATATCACACATGAACTTAATTACGTTTACAGATAAGTTGGTGTAAAAAAAAAATTCTTTTTCTAAAGTTATTTTACTTTATCTAATCTTCATTGAAATGACGTCGTTTTGGGATAGAAATTATGATACATTTATAATTTTAATTTATTTCAAGGTTATAATAATCTTTATCATTCTAATTTTTTAACCTCAAAACGACGTCATTTTGGTAAACATTAGACAAAATTATCTACAATAATATTAGATACTTTTTTTGCAAAAAGAAATTATGAATGCTCAGAGAGGGAGTATTTTACTCCTTTGTGTGGTGCACAACTTAATTTCTAAGGCTTTACTTCTCTTATGTAGTGGGAGAAAAATTATGTTATGTTGTGAGATAAATAAAGTGAGGTCATCAATTTTTTTAAAAAAAAATAGAAAAGATAGACACATCTTATTTGTTGATACTTGCATGTGATGAGAGTGACGTGGATGTAGGAAGGGACTCATATATGGATAAGTTTTGAGTATTATACATCAACTTATTTAATTACGTTTAGATATAAGTTGGTGTAAAAAGAAAATTATGAATGCTCCGCGAGGGAGTATTTTACTCCTTTGCTTGGTCCACAACTTAAATTTTATGTATGTCATCGGTGTTTGTTAATTGTTAAAAGTTCACCCAATTTTCTTTCGAGCCCCGTGCGAAAAAAATCTTCAAATCTTTGTGGTAGTACCTTCGAATAAATACAAATTTTGTGATATTTTTAATATTAAATATTTTTCCCGAAGGAATCTTAGCTTGTATTTATTTAATTTTCTTAATCAATATATAGCATACCAAAAACAAAAGGTGTGACTTTTTTTTTTTTTTTTTACAGAAAAGTTTAAGTAAAGTTAGACACCGGTATTCCACTTGAGTCAGGGCAGATCCTCCAACCTCTTTGAGGATTTTTGGAAAGGATTACATATCACCCACCAACAAAGTCTTCACATCGGCTAGCGGAGTTTGACCTCACTCCCTTAAAGAGTATGGACCAAACTCTTAACCAACTGTGCTCACCTTTGTTGGCGTGACTTTTCTAATTCAAAGAACGATTTAAATAAGTCCTGTTTATAATATACCAAAAATCGACGAATAACGTGGCCATTTATTAATTTCATCAACCAATACATGGTATACCATGTGAACTTTTGCGGAATGAGAGCTTGGGTTTGTATTTCTTAAGGGTGTAGAATTTCAATGTATGGATATATTCAAGAAAATAGAGGTATAGAACAAAGCTTAAAGGAGAGGTGTGTTTGAAAGCTAAGGTGGCTAAACAATTTGGCAGGGAAACATATAATATCAGGTGTCCTCCTTGTGAGAGAAGAAGGATTTATATAGATGGAGAATATTTCCTAATGATGATAAAGAGAGTGAGTTGTTTACCGAAAAAAAAAGTGAGTAAAAAATTATTAGCCTAGGCCTCACTCTTGTTGTGAGACACTAGCTCACCATTGTACGCTTAAGATAGTGAGCTATGCAAGGAGAGTGGAATCCCCAAAGAAGATGTCTATGAACTCACCTGTAGGACGCTATGGGACTGGGCCCTTATTAGGCCTTGGATTGATGACCGACCCATTCTTATTGGGCTTGTGTGCACTAGCCATAACAGAAATCCCTTAACTTGATAATTTGCGAAATCAAAGTTCCAAGATATATGGCAACTTAGTCCGGTAATTTGTAGTGTGCAGTGTTTTCTAGATGGATACAATGGTGTGGTCAATCGGCGACAAGCCTTCAGGCTGGTCTTCATGGCTTGTTAGTTCCTCGTGGCGTATGGTTGGAAGATTGTGATCAAGATTAGACTCCATTCTCATTATTGTAATAAGAAAAACTAGTATTTTGAAACTTATTTACAAATGTGTAGTAACCAATTGTGCCAAAATGGGGTGCGACTGGTCGCGTGTAAAAGAGGACATGGATAGAGGGTTGAGTCGCGCCCCACTTTGGACACAACTCACTTAGTAATAACACGTAGCAAAAAATAGTTAACAGTTTTATCATAAAACTTTCAAAGGCCATAATTTTTTTATTCGAATGACCGAATTGGATATTTTTTTATTCTACGTAACTTTTCAAGATTTATTGGCAAATTTCTGAAACTAAAAAAAATTTCCAAATTTTTTTTTCATTGTGTCCCGTTTGACACATCTTATCGTGATAGGTAGTGAAATATTTAATAATTTTTTAGACCAATAACCGATAAATATTTAACAACTTACCTTAATATTAGTATAGTTAAATGCGCCCGCATACAATTTACCAAAAAAAAATAAAAAAAATGCGCACTCATACATACGGGTAGTGGTAATCTCTTGGTAATATTTTCGATGTTTATTAGAATTCATGCTAACGAGGTTTTGTATTTAATTTAATTTGCCTAATGTTCATACATGGATGATCGCTTTTGGCATGCCATTACCAGAACAATACATGTATACAGTCGCTTTTCATGCCATTCTTCTGGATGAAAATTAATAAATATGTTACTACCTATCACGATAAAATGTGTCCAAAGGACATAAAGAATCATTTTTTTGAAATTGTTTTGATCAAATTCCCTCATGGATTTGTCAGTGTGTAGATCTTCGAAAATTATGTAAGATAAAAAAAATATCTGATTCAAACACCAGATTCAAAAATTATGATATTTTGAAGTTTTACAATAAGACTGTTGGCTATTTTGTGTCACGTGTCATCACCGGGTGAGTCACGTTCAAAATAGAGCGATACCCAGTCCCATCAAGCCCTCTTTTAAGTGTGACCGGTTGCGCCTCATTTTAGGCGCGACTAATTACTATATATTCATAAATAAGTTTAAAAATATTACTTTTTTGTATTTTTTTATTTAATTTATAATATTTAAATTTTTTTTCCCTACACAATACACTGCTGCATATTTCATAGGTGGATTCTATG